TTATCGTGATAAAACAAGGGTAGAAATCACACAATCATGCCGCGAACATCTGACACATCAAGGGAAAAGCCCCAACTTCAAGTCCGATTTTCTTAAAGTTCAACTATCGCACTAAGGTATCACGCAAAAATAATCCACAATACTGATCATTGTTATCCAGCAAGCGAAAGCGCCTGTGCTAAACAAACGTTTTCAACATAGCATGATTTCCGTTGACTAGTTTTGATGCAAAAAATGCTTACCTGCACTTGAGACCTGGCAAATAACTGGCCTAGATATTATGCTGGCAGCTCCTACAAAAAGTTCGTTTGATTCTCATGATGAGTGTAGAAATTGGTCCAGAAACGACAACCTACTCTCAACTTGCAACAAAATATGTGTCCGGCCATTGCTCCGGCTAAGACAGCACATGATTCATTGAGTACTGTCATGTGAACCGTGTCCGCGTTTGAGTGGACATAGAGGGACATAAACAACTTCTTCTTTTGACAGAGGTGTCTTTCAAGAGGACCTTTTCTTTACCTTGGGGAAGGTACTGGCCATGCAAATTGTGTTGGAATACCACCAGACACCACATAAACTTGTCATTTAAACGATTTTTCTAAGATCTTCTCACCCGAAATGTAGCGAACAAACTTTGTTACCACGGCGATCGTGAACTCCTTTCCTTCGTCTCAACGAATTGCATTGATCCACTATTTTCTCTTAGAGGTGAACAGTGGAAGATTTCTATCCCTTCTCGTGGTATTCAGAAACACAGCAACTTGTAGGCACAGGGAAACGAAACAGCCCAGATCAACAATGAAGCAACTTTTTGTCAAAACAAAACATCAAAGCCTGACTAGCCTCGCTTTCATGCAGCTCATCCTGGGCACCGACTGAGTGGTCCATCATATTTGCATTTGGTGTATTTCTTTGTGAAAATCAATGAAATCAGCCACTTAAGGTAAAATTCATTTTAATCTACATCTGCTTCATTTGTAAGTGGTTAAATATGTCACATGATTGGTCACATGATTTTAAAAGTGACCAGTAACAAATGCGTGACTATTAACAAATGTGCATTCACTGTTGCTTTGAAGTACAACCTTGCAAAAATAAAATCTGTATCCCTTCTTTATTAACTTAACATTCTTTTGCTCTTGCTATCGTCTTAGCAAAGCCTTTGGGAATAAACACTGTTCTCTTTATATCACTTTTTATCAGTTTAGATCTATTATGCAAACGAGTCAGCAAACAAAAAAATTATATCCAAATAAAAAATGAAGCCGTTGCTCGTTTCTGTTTATCTATTCACCACAATTTTGCTTTTAAACAAGAATAACAGTAATCACAATGAGTTTTTTATACATATATTTTATTCAATTCAAATATTTTCCGGTTTTGAAGAGGACATTAAAGGCCAAACAGTGGTGCACTTTTGGTCAGTTATTGATAGGGAACATATGATAAAGCCTTGTAACTAATAAAAAGCACAGTCTGTGGTTTTGTTCTGTTAGACTGCCAATGATATTAAAATAGTTTTTTGTGGAGAAAACTGTCTTGCAAACACAGACCTGACCTTGTTTCTATCCGGATTCATATTGAGGCTCACATAATCCAATGTGGCGGTGCCCATGGCCACTTGGCTAGTACTCTTCCTACTTTGACTGTAAGTGTGCTAATTCAATCGCCAAATTTCAATTAAATCAGTTCAGAAGTTGTATATTTGAGTTCATTGTGAGTAAAGATTCCAAAAGAATAATTTCTTACTTATAGTATTATATATGATGAAAAATTATAAAATGAAGAAAAATCATTTTCTAACTCAAGATTTCATAAGACCATTTAAAAAATCCTACTAGCTGTTACTGTATAATTTTGGGTCTTTTAAAGTATCTTTTCTTTGATTCTGTTTAAAACCATGAGCTCTGTTATATTACTGTTTTGATTAAGTATAAATGTATACATTGACAAATTTAGAGTGCTATTTTCATTTTTTTTGTAAAGACAACTGAGATGAAATTATGCTTTTTGATGGGTGTGCCACATTTCTAAATTTTATTTCGTTTAAAGGTGCTTTTTTTTCAGATTGATTTCCATGGCTAGTAAGGAACAAGATAACCTGGTTTCAGTATAACATCTCCTCCAAAGTGACAAAAATTGGTTAAATGCCTTCATTGGATGGTATGCAAGCCACATTGGAGATGAGGAAGAGCGTCTTGTTGATGACGATGACATAATAAGAAAAGAAGAAGAATTTAGACGCGCAATAGCAACAAAGGCAGATGTACAATCTAGTGTGAATGAGTTGTAGCAGGAAAGTACAAAGCTATGTTCGCTTTTTCAAGATTTTATAGCTTAGTCCAGAGCTAAGTCAAAGATGTTTGCATTGGTGTCAAGCCCTTTACATTTCTTGTCTATGACACCCTTCTATCTGTGAATATTACACCTACTTTGGCATTGAACCATTATCCATGACATGTAATGCCAGGAGATAAATATACTGTCAAGTTTTCAATTTAAATACCTCACCTTGCTTTCACAGTGTATAGCTTGTTGTCTGACCTCTTACTTTGCTGAAACAAGGCCCACCCTGCTCCATGCCTAATTAAGAGAAGGATAAGGCACACACACAATTCAGAATGCCCAATTTGAGAAGCGAAACATCAACCTCAAAATGACCAAGAGCCACAAATCCTAAGTTGAAATCCAAGACAATAATTGTAGTTCTCTTTCAATTCAGTAGCAACTCAATCGTCCCTGTGAAACTGAAGCCAAGAAGCAGTTTACTTAGCAAAATTTCCAGTTCAGGAGTGTGGAACAACTCCTGAACATGTTCACCACGACAGCTTTAATCTGCAGTTAGTGCAGTTGTGGAGATTCCCCTAGAATAAATCTGTTGTAATGTATATTCCTGCACTTTTGACAAATTCAGATTAAAAGATTCTTATGTTCTACTGATGTTTTTCACAGGATACATGTACCTGTGGCAAACAGTGTCAAAGTTTTGCTCAAGTTTCTTTTTCTTTGCAGTCACAAATTTTTCACGTTTTTTTTTATAGTTTTCCTATCCCAAGGGAGTACGGGCTCTTTATGTTTGTTTTGTGTGGAAGTATGCAAAGTTGAAATCATGTTTTTTCGAAGGAACATACATGTAGCCATAAATTTGCTTCAAAAGCTTCCATTTGCTCGAAATTTAACCAAGGGCATTCTTGACAGTTGCCTTAACCATTGCTTTTGTACATTGCTGGCCAAGTGGGAATTTAACGTTGTAAATATGGAATATAAGCTCACAAATGTCGCAGATATTTTTCACGATGAGACCCACTGTAAAGGTGGAGCCCAGCATTTCTTTCCTTCATCTCCAGCAAATGTCCAATAAGTGCGAATTTAAGTTTACAAATCTCACAGATATTTTCATTACGACCCATCACAACAGTTATTTTTCATTGCAACCCAAACCAGGCAGAAACAGAGACCAGGATGCATGGTGTGGATCAAGTTTCATGACCTTTTACAACAAGAAATACAGTTTTGTAGATACCGTTCATCAGTCACAGATTAATTGGTCATTGTTGAGAAGTCATCTTTGATAGTGTTAGCATTTCCATTTGGGCTTATTTTTCTCTGCAGAGAGCCATTCAAAGTTGATGCATCAATACAGCAACCAAAACTTGCCACATGAAAACCTTAAGGCCTCGTCTTAAATGATTTCTTTGTTTCTTGACGGATAAAACAGAGAAATTTAAGTTTTTATTCTTATCACCTGGAAAGTAAAGTGCAATTTTTAGGTACTCTAGAGTCATACTACAGTGATCATAAGCCTACATGTATGAATGCATTTCCTCAAAAGCACTGTGATTCATATTAACAAACTCACGGTCACCTACATGTAGATATATCCTAAAACTAACATCCAGTACAAAAGTGCAATTCCTTTTCATCACCGTCTACCAAGACTAATCAAAATAATTCATATTTACAGTACTATTACTCCAAAAAAAGAAAATTACAAACAGAAATTCCCTGGAAACACATAATACAATGCCCAATATACCATCTCTAAAAATAATAAAGCTCAGATCAAAGCTGTTGACATTAGTTTGGGATATCTCTTACGATCTCAAAAAACATAAAAAATCACTTCCCAGATGATCCAACAAGCCCAAACACACATTATAAAAAAAATACTACAACTAATTTGATTCACCTCTTCGATTAGGTTTGCTTACAGAGCACTGATTGAACACAGGATCATTGCGTGATGCAGTTCAAGAGTTTTCATTGGCTTAGCCATCTTTTTATATGATATCATTTTCCACAAATTTAATGCAAGCGTTCGCATTATTTTTTGAAGGTGGTTACATTATACCACATTCTACAAATAAGGTTAGTGTATGCATCATTTTTGGGGGCGTTTTTATTTTATTTTAGTACTCTTTATTTTGGAGGCATTTTTAATAAAACCATTATTCCATTCACACTTGTTGGATATGAAGTGATTCTAGCCAACTCTTATCCAACGTGCACTCATGGAACAATTGGTAAGTGTACCATGCTGGCTTAGCAAATGAAAACTCTTAAATTGGTCATCCATGATCCAGTTTAAAATAATTGAAGATAGTTTCCTAAAAGTGTTCTTCAGGAAAAGCATCATTGACTCTCGATATTTCCATGCAGTGACTCTTAAATAATTTTTTTTTGTAACAATAACATTACATTGCATACAACATACATTGCATGTAACAATAACATTACATTGCATACATTATTTTACAACTCAATTTGTGAAATAGCAAAACGAAACTATGTTAACACAAGTGCTGGTTGTGGAGAAGAAAATTAATAGAGCTTGCTCACGCAGTTCATCTTCAAAGTATCATTTACCGTACAAAAAGTCCTAATTTTAGATAAACATTAATCTTTAAGTCCCATCAGTTCACAGTACTTGTTGCATTCGTGCTCTGTGAAGAAAGTATCAATGCTTACATGTAGGTGAGAAAGGTTCCTGGCACAAAAATACGATTCATCTGTATCCAATGTAAATTCGTAGGTAGTAATTTCAGGATCATACAGTTTGAACATTGAACCTTGAAGATCAACCAACATCATTTTTTTCTCCGAAAAGGTGTAGCTCAAATGTGCAAGGCATTCTGCTTTAGCGTACACTTCTTGGTAGTCCTCCATCAGCGGAGCATAACAGGGTCCATCGTTGTTCACACATTTTTTAAATTCGCCAGGTACAAATTCTTCCACTGTTACCGGGAGTTCATCTAAAACGGAATAAAACACCTTACCGTAACTAAGGTATCGCCAAAAGAGGAGGGTACTCTTGATGAAAATCTCTGTGTAGTGTTTCTTGCAACAGCGTGCATTTGTACTTGTTTACGAGTATGATCTTCCACTGTAGATTTCAAGATGTCGATAATGGTTTTCACTGATGTAGGCTGGTATTTTTTTCACCACCCATCCACCGGACAAACCAGCGTCACTGCAGGTCGCTTTAAAAGCATCTCTAAAGGTCCCACTGGAGAAGGGCTCCTCCTCTATTTATAAGTTAATCGAACAAGCCTGAACCCATTTGTTCTTTTCTACATCAGAATGTTCCAGATGTAGAGTGGCAGTTTTCAACGGCTTCACCAGTGTTCCGGCTCTCAAAAGTTGTGCGATTGACACTGATTTGGGCACGACTGTTGATGTAGTTACACGTTTAACCCGTGATGGTGATGCTGGCACAGACTTGGGACAAGCAGGTGTATGTTCAAATGACGCTTCTGGAGCCCAAAATGTGCAACCGGCATTCTCTTTTGGCTCAAGAAATCGGATGAAGAATACTTTGCGACCTTTGATCTGTTTGAACTTAGAACATGATGGAGCTCTGTCTGATGCAATAATATCACATGATCCAGCTGGAGCTTCGTAAAATCTTTCACGGGCTTCCTTGATGTTTTCTAAATTGAGTTCTTCGTAATCTTCAAATGGAATGAAGTCTCTGGTGTCCAATGGCTCATATTTTTTTAATCGTCCTGAAGCAGTAGACAACATTCTCAGAACTTTCCCCACGCCTGGTTTCTTTGCATTGTTTCTCTTATTTCCAACACGTTTTTCAAACTCTTCCCAAGACTTCCTTCTCTGCTGCCAGTCTTCTCCTCTTCATATCAGCTTCGGTTTAATCACAACCAAACAGCTCAGTGTCTATTGATACTCTCTAGGATGCTAAATATCTCGAAATTCCTCTGAATATCTCAAAATATCTGGTATGTTTGTTTTAAAAATAAGCCGTATGTTTGTTTTAAAAATAAGCCGATTTTGAAACCCCTAAGCCAAAATTTTGCCCAGCAGGAGCTGAAAAGTATGCCAGAGATTGTCTACACTAGTATTATGGAAATAAAGCAACTTCCTGAAGAAGGTTCAGGCCCATTGTTTCCACATTTTGGCAAGTGGCTGCTAGTGATATGGAATACATTATTCAAGTGGGAAACCGCTCAACTGGATTATTTCTATTGTAGCATAGAATGATAGAACTGAGTATTTTGTCAAGAAAATACAGAGGAAAAGCTGGAAAACAGCCAAAAAAAGCTGTAAATTTTTTGTTAAATATCCCAAAATTATCTAAAATATCTAACATTTTCTAAATACATGTATCTTGGAAACTTCTAAATATCTCAAAAAATATCCAGATATTTGTGTAAAGGCCTAAGCATGCCACAGTCCCAGGCCTTGCCGTGTGGATTGACAACACTGGGCTGTTCACTTTTTTTTTTAATGGTGATAGCGCTGGTCCGTTCCCAATAGGCATTTTTAAAATTTAAAGTTAGAATCATATTTGATTTAAAATTGAGAAACCTTTTGAAATCAATCAGGCTTTTAAAAGACAATTCAAAATAGAAATTGCAAGGAGAATCGAAGATAGACTAAAACGAAAACACGAATAGAGTTGATTATTTCATTAGAAAATGAAGTTAATCAACAATGATTTAGATAAACATATACAGGCAAAAACTAACGATAGACAAATCCGACGTTTCGGC